GGCTAATAATTACAATTAGAACCAGTCATTGTCTTTTCCGAAAGGGACAATATTAGTCATTACCTCAAATTGTTAACAACTACTGGCTTACTTTGATTCCTGATAACTTGAGAGAATGATTGTTCATGGGACTTAAATCCCAGACCTACGGATTTAAGGTCAAGCATAAGCCTTTTTTTTTTTTTTTTTTTTGCAACTTAAGTGTGACTCATGAAGACCCACCTCTGGCATTAGTTAGTAGGAATCCAGGTTTATGTGCAGTTCATACTGAGAGGCCATTAAAGAGAAGACAATGACTATTTCCATAAAAATAATAATAATAAAAAAAACACCTGTTCAATTTTCACAATAACTTACTTTGTTAAAAAGCTTGAAGCAAACACAATAACAGTTTAAAGTGCCAATCACGTTAACTGTTCTGGCATCTTTGGTCTTGCTCAGAGTAGTTGTTTGTGTCAGGGACCAACTAATCCGGGTTTATGCTAAATAAAGATCTCAGGAGCGTTTTCAGCTGCGGGGAAGATATTAGCTGCTCAAAAGCTTTTACCAAAACTCCACTATGTCAAAGTATCGAAAAAGAGCACATTTTATGTGTTAAGTTCTGTAAAATATGTATCCAGGTTGTAACTGAGCAGGAAACAGAAAGTTAACTTTAAGGGGATCTTTGAATTATGTTCAGAAACTGTAATTTTCCCAATCACCCCAACCAAGGAATTTACTCTTGCTCACTTCAGGCAGGGAGTCACATGGAGTTTTTCAGGTGCACACTGTGTGCCTATGCCTGAGGATGCAACAGGAATTTTATCTACATTTAGCTGAAATGCTGGTAGCCCTTGTTGGAGCAGGTGATCGAGTTCCTGCACCGGTGCCTGCGTCTGCCTGCGTCAAAAGAGAGATTTGATCTCGCCTTTGTAGATAGAGTCCTTTACACCTCAGGGATAGATTCCATTTCTCTTGAGCGTTTTCTGCAGAAACCACTGAGATATGAATGAGTTGAGGACGGAGGGATGAGCTGCTTATTTACTGACCCACTGGACTCAGTGAGAACAGTTATATAACTGCAGCACCTGTGACATAATCGCACCACCTTTGAGTGGGGGGGTTAGTGGGGGACACTGGTGCTTAGCAGAGGTGGTTTTTTTGCGTGCATGATGTAACTCACTTTATGGGTAACTGGGTCACTGTGTTCGTTTGAGAGAAGCTTCCCTCCTGTCTCCCTCCACCAGCCCCGCCTTTTGCCCTCGCCCTCTGCAACTGACAGGTTCTGCGAAAGGCAAACCATGCATGTGGCAAACTGCCAGGGACAGGATAACCAATCGGTGGGGCCTGACATCACAGTCGCCACGCTGCCCCGCTGTGGGAGGACTCTAACTGGATGGGAAGAAAGGCAAGCTCTGGTCACATTCTTTTTTCAGCAGAGATGCTGAGTAATCGCTGCAGTCTACAAAAATAGCCTGGACAGTGACATCCCAACGGCGCACACAGTGTTATCATTTTCATTCAAAGCATCTAAACATGCACGAGTAGGGTTTTTTTTTTTTTGTAATGTAACAAGTGAGTCCATGATAAATCTTTTCGAAATTAATTATTTTTTTAAATGTAAAATTTAAGTTAAAAACACCCCCAAAAAACCGGTTGCAAAAAAAATAAAAAAGGTCACTCTCAGAATACTTTTTAGGTGGAACATCTTTTCATTAAATTTTAACAGTCTTTTATGCTGGGAGTCGATTAGCATCCCACTGATTTATCAATATTTGCCCTGTAGTAACTCTCCAAAACTATGAGATTGTTAAAACAGCTCTAATCCACAGCTGAGTTGAATTCAGATCTGGACTTTGCCTCAGCAAATCCAAAACTCAAATCTTCATTTTATTAATTTGGTCTGATGTGATGGTATCCGTGGACCCACAGTGATGCAGAAAGATAAAATTCCTCTTCATCGATGCCTTTAGGTATCTGTGTGATCAAGTATGCACCCAGGTTTTGGCACTTTTTTAAAATTTTTTCAACACTTGTCCTCTCACCAGATTTTTTTTTTATAATGAATTTATGTGGCCCCATTTGGAGGCCACGTAAAACCTTGAAGTCTGCAGTATTTTAGTATATAAGACCCACCACATAGCAAAGAGTTGTTTGGGACTATGCCTGTTTTTCTTGTTTAAAAACTATAGTCTTTAAAGCCAAAAGCTTTTTAAAGTTTATTCAGGATGCTTTAGGGTTTCTTCTCATTTACTGAAGTTAGATATCTGATGCTTCCACGATACGTTACTGTATCAGGGCAACCAGACGGGGTAGCTCAGCTTTTCATCTGTTCAAATATTAATGTTGGTTGGATCTGTTACTCTGGTTATTGACCCTTAAGCAGCCTGCAAAACTTGGCTCTACTTTTAGGGCAGTAACTCATTTTGCAGTGGCAAGACGGTTAGCCCAAGCTCCCTTCTGCTGATGATATGATATTAAATCAGTCCAACATGACACACCTCAGTCAGATGAGTGTCTAGTAATTTAAACTCCTTTTTAACCAGTAGGAATACTATATGTATTCCTACTGTAGTTTCAAGTTGGAAAATCAATGTGTTTTTACTAGTTCTCATAAAAAAGAAAAGAAAAAAAAAAAAACACACACATTATGTCCATATGCAAATTTATATTCATCGGTTAGTGAGTTTAAATACATGAGGTGATGCGTGAACCTGCAGGAACTGCAGTAGGCAGGGCCGGCTGTGTTTGTCTGCAGCTGAGGTAAGGCGTCAGAGGCAGGAACACAAGCCATACTGTCTAGACTTGCTCTGTCTGTCTGCATGTTTTGTAAGCATGCAAAAAACGGGGGCGGGGGGCGAGGAGGCTCATAGTGAACCGAGTTCATGTTTTTGAGACTCTCTGGCATATGATAGCGTATGAATGTTTGACAGTGAACAGTGCTTGTTTCCATTGTGGCCCACATGGGGATTGAAGAACAAAGAAAGCCTTTGGCGGCCATTTTTTTTTTTTTTCTTTTTGTGCCATCTATAAACATTTATGCATCCCATTATATTTTCTCATTCATGCCTCAAACCACTGGCATAGGTTTGTATAATGATTGATAATTCTTATTCACAGGCGAAACCCTAAATGTTTAAAGATTAAGTCCTGTGCTCGCTGGACGTGTTATTTTATTATTCAGAAACTCAATGAATATGTTCTCAACAGCATGATCTATCAGGCAAACTTTGTGGGTTGTTTTCATGCGCACCGTTTACAGAGTAGAATGACATTAAAACATAATGCATGAGGTAGCATTCAGCGGTTTTTAGTAGATTTGCTTAAATCCCCACTTTAATTGCATGATATAAGGGAGAATGTGTGAATTTCCATGTTCCAAGAGCACAAATCGCTGCATGTTTGAAAATGGGTTGGGTAGTCATTGTGAGTGTGATTAGCATCTGGAGCTGTATAATTAAACTGTGTCTGCTAGTTCAGTGTCACGCCAGTTTGTTGGTAATTTATCACTACTAAAGCAGTTACAGCTTATTAGTTTCATCATGTTTTCAGATAACTCTTATGATTTTTAATATCCTTCTTACAGAGTTATTAGACTGTTGGAATAACGTTGTTTGTTTATTCACAGTGAATGAGTCATCACTCCTGGTGATGAGGTGTTTGTCAGATTAAGATAACCAGTGTTATTATCAGGTTCCATATGGCTCCCTCACATACACTCAAACTATTAGTGCTGCCAAGCAAGCCTGGTATAGCAATGTAATCAAACATCAAATGAAAGCAGAGGCCTGTTGTGGCCCATTTACCGCTAATCACATGCAGTTTACATTCCTGCACGCCATTCTCCAAAAAAATATTTTACCTTTTCAGACGTCAAATCATGTTTTGACTGTGTTCTTTAAACCTCCAGACCAGTCATTCGTATCTCACCACAGTATTAAAAACACTCACTTCTAGTTTTATAATAGGGAGCATACACAAATAACATAACTACAGTTAATACTTTATGTTAAATACTAAAGGGGTTTAATTTCATTTTCACACTGAAAACAACATGGACAGAATAACCCACAAGTTGTATTACAAATGAAGTGATGTTTGGGTTAATTTAACTGATTTTTAGGTTTACATTAGTTCCACGGTAAAACATATGACTTTTTAAAAAGCAAACAATCTGTTACTGGCTACGCAGAATTAATCAGTTACCAGCATTAATGTATACCAACGTTTTTGAAAGGTTATATTTTAAGCCGACCAAATATTTCCACGATTTTACCATTTCTTGTTTCCTCCTGTGAAAGAGATCAGGAAGTCTGAATGAGTCGCTGAATAGTTCAAAATGGAAGTCTCTAAAGAATCACAAGAATCCTACTGCTTTCTCCTGTAATCGAACAAAATGGATCACAATTTTTTATTCAGCGATTGATTGACACCACCAAACGTATGTTGCAACAGCACCAAACCAATATTTCGGCAAAAGAAATGACCCAGACGTGGCTCTGTGCATGTGTCTGTACGTGTATGTGTGTACTTAGCATGGGAACTTGAAATTTCTCAGTTTGGAAGCAAAAGCCACAGAGGACGTTTCTATTGTACTTTAATGTTATTAGAAGTTACACAGGCGTTTTGAGTTTAAAAACAGTGTGGCCTCACACAAACCTTACATAATGTACTTAATCTTCTTGTAACATTGCAATCAATGGAACCCATCCCACTTTGGAGGTAATCACCCCATTAAATGGACATTATCATGTCTTATCTCTCCTCTGTGGCCATGAGGGGTCAACCTCTGTCTCTAAGGACCCTATATCAGACATGTTCACTAATCCTGATAGAATACATAAAAACCTGCAGAGATTACTGATGAACAACTTGTTCATCAGACTCATCTCATTCGTCATGCAGCATTCTTCTGCTGCCTTCTTCTCCTCGTCTCTCTTGACAAAAGAAATTTCAGTCATGATGAGACAACTAGAAGGATCTAACTGTTCCTCCATATTTCTCCTGTCTGTGTTCTGCAGGTGAACGGCCCTTCCCATGCACCTGGCCCGACTGCAGTAAGAAGTTTGCCCGTTCTGATGAGCTGGCCCGCCACTACCGCACCCACACGGGAGAGAAGAAGTTTGGCTGTCCACTTTGCGACAAGCGCTTCATGCGCAGCGACCACCTGATGAAGCACGCCAGGCGCCACTCAGATTTCCAGCCCGGCATGTTGAAGAAGCCCCACAGTGGCAGCGCCACGCGCCCCAGCTCTCTCAGCGACTACAGCCGCTCGGATGCATCCAGTCCCACCATCAGCCCCACCCTCAGTCCAGCCAGCTCGCCTTAAACTGAAACCTGGTCGCACTTTTCAAGCCCACCGACGTGAGGCCTGCAATTTCATCATAACACTTCTGTTGCACAGTTGTCAGCAACCCGCCACCCCCTCCTTTGCTATTCCTGCGCTAGCTGTGGTGTACCATACTGTACATAAGTGCTTATTGTAGTACAATTACTTGTGTGATCCTAAAAGAAGATAATGCCTTTCCCAGATGGCGATATCTCCATTCTGTACCACATGTCTGTATTTTTTAAGCTTCTGACTATGGCTAGTTGTTTATTGTATATTCACAGTTTAGAAGAAGGAAAACAAAACAGACACCGTCATATGTCTTCTCAAAATGTTTTGATTTTAACAGATTTTTTTTTTTTTATTGAATGGGTTAGGAGAAGGGGTTCACACACACACCTCAGGATCGAAGACAGTTGCTCTTTCTGTAATACCACAGTACTCAAGAGTACTCACATTGACTGCACAATATACTCATCACTTTATTCGAAAATTCAACGGGGAGTTGAATTTTGCGCCCTGCTCAGGGATGGCCTTGTTAGCTTGAAAGAATGAACATGGTGAAAAGAAACATACAGTACATACTATACTTCAGCCTTACACTCAACACAATTTGCACTCTATGCTTTGTTTGTTGGCTTTCACATTTGAAGAAACCAGACATAAAGTCATGCGGTCATTTTTTTTGCGAAGCTTCAGTTCGTGTTCTGTCCTACGTCTAAGGTGAAGGTCAAATGTAACTCTTAATTTCCGAGAAAACAATCATTGAGCCTGCCGTGGAAAACAAATACGTCAGTGCTAATACCTTTTGACGTTACACTGGGTATAAGATGTGCACTGCATTAAAAAGTTTTAGCAGTGCAAAGTGTGTGAATCTACATGTTCAGGCGGATTGGGATTATATTGGGTTAATATTTTTTTATAAATGTACATAGGTTTAAAATAAATAAATAAAAGAAACCCTACTGAACCTTTACACACTGAGAACGAAGTTTAAAAGCAGCTGTTGATGCCTAAAAGTAACAGAGTTCAATGAAATGCTTTTGAAGACTATTTTGATTTACATTAAAGACCTGCATGATTTATGGGGAATAACTTAAAAACACATTTACTTAAAAGCTTGTAATTAGCTTAATTATTAGCTTAAGAAACGTAAACACAGCATTGCCAACTTTAATTGGTGTTTTCCAGCTCTTGGATGTGTGTTGACTTCCTTTACATTAAGGCTACTCAACCCTTCAAGGCATTTTTGGAGTTAATGAGGTACATCAAACTCTTTTAAAGTCAACAAATAACTCAGTCTCATGATCTACAGTGTAATCTGTCAAAACTTCTTAAGGGAGATTTTTTTCAAATCTCTTAATTAAATAAAAAGTTGAATCTAAAAGACTTCTGTGCAAAATATCAACATAATTAATACTCTACTTAACAGATAGGGGGCAAAAGTCAAAGAGAGAAAGAGGGGCTAAACTAGAGATTAATGTTGACAAAACCATAAAATCTAGACACATGAGCTCAAATGGGCAGGAGAACGAATAGTCACTGGAGATGAAAGGTCAAATTTAGGAGGTCTGTGGACTTTCCTGTAGCATATTGTAAGCTTCAGAACAATTACTGATGACGGGTTTTAACCAAACTAAAATCCTTGTTTTCACACCAAACCTCTTTGGGTAAATACTTTCCTATGACGAAGGAGCTAGTTGTGGATAGCAACAAGAATTCTTAGATTTTGATTATCTAAACATTCGATTTTAAGGCCAAATGGTGCTTTATGGCGTTTGTAGTTTTATCACAGCATGAAAACCACAACATTCCTTAGCCAGAGCTACAAATCACCAACTTAACGCACACAGGTTAATCTAAGAAGCAATGAATGAATGAGGTAAGCCATAGCTAAATGTACTTTAGGATTGAATCTGAAAAAAATAATAATAATCAGGAAAGATTTAAGACATATAAACTCGAGATAGCTCAAAGTAGGACTTTTGAAAACTTTGCAAAAACCCTGATTACTATCTGATCAGCACATATTTCACTTAAAATGGAGACCAAACAGCTTCAGTAGTAGCAAGATATTTCCATCTCATCAAGCACATGGGAGAATGTACCAAAGAAGTGCTTTTTATTCAGTGCTGTAGGGAATATTGCAGGTAATCACACACTCAGTCACTTCCTCCTGGCTCAAGTTCCCAGGAGGAAACAGCTGCACCCAAAAGAAGACTTTCCCACCCCGCTGGAGGTAGTGCTAGCATGCCGTTCGCCCTGCGAGGCCTTTCTCATCTGGCTCTACCTGTTCTTTCAGCGAGACAGCTGAATTACATTAGTATTGCCTAATTAGGAGGTCAGACGTTGGCTAGCGCAATTGGCTGATCTGAGCTGAGGGAACAAAGCAGATATCAGCAACAAACAGGCAAGAGAGGGCAGGTCCTGATAAAAGAGGAGAGGTTTTATCACAAGCCGAACAGCACAAAGGAGGAGACACACAGAAGCAGACACCCCCCATTTCCTCCTCCCTCCAACTGTAGAAACAGGCAGCAGAAAAATAGCTGTAATTGGTAGCTTGATCTGAACTGCAGGATAAGAGGAAATGTGTAAGAACAAGAGCTGTTTGTAGACAGCACTAGCAGCGTGGGTGGGAAGTGCCTGACTCCATCCAAAGCACAAACAGAATTCCTTCTCATACGAGCCGGAGAATCAGATTTCACAATGCAGAGGAAACCGTCGCTCTGGGCTTGCGTTGATAAACCTGAGCTTCCAAACAGCTGCTTTCAAACTTCCTGTCTCTTTTGCAAGTTGGGGGGATTTGGGGGACTTTCGAAGAGTTGCAAAAACATCGGAACCAAAATCAACATATCAGCAAATTGCAGTGCTCACCAGACTGATGTCAACCCAGCATTTGAAGCTCAAATGTCCCTGTGAGAAAGCCGACAGACATGCCTCAGTAAGTCAGGCGAAAGTGGAAACAAGCACCACTATCAAAACTGCTGGACCCCTGCCGGTCTATGTGTTATGCCCGCACTTTTTAAGTGCTTCACTGCTGCAGTTGGATCCGCATCCATGCAGTTCAGACTCCTTCAGACTTACTGCCATCAGAGCTAACTCAAGCGGTATCTTGCGTTCGACGCTACATGCATGTTAACTTTGCTCTGAAAGCGAGGAGTATTTTCTTTTTTTTCCCCTTTGAGTCGGTCTGGCAGGTGTAAGTTCATGAATGTCAGGCCTTGTCCTTTTTCCTCAACTGCAGCCATCTTCTCTTTAAAGTCAAAATGAATCCCCCTCTCATTCTCCCTTATTTAGCTTGGAAAGCAATGGATTTATCTCAAAACACAATCCTTTGTGTGATGTTATAATAGTTTGCGGGCTGCAAGATGACACTTTGAATGCCACTGATCTGCAGCTCTCAAAGACAGAGGTGTGAGAGTTCACCATTTTTTTTTTCTTGAAGCAACAACTGCTGTTGATCAGCTTACCTTTTGTATATTCCTGTCTTGGTTCTAATCTTTCCAACCTGGTTTAAAGCGCTCACGTGCAAAAGAAAAAGACAAGAAAACGGAGAAAAAAAATGACGCATTAATCAGTTTTTAATCTGTAATCTGCACATTTTCCTCAGGGTCAACATCTGCCAAGCAGATATGGGACAGTTTGTGGATTTTGTCGTAAAACCAGTCGCCGCACGCATACGTCAGGCTGCCTGTGGCTGCCCCATCGGTGGTCCTCGGTGCCCAGTGTTCACTGCTGGTCAGTGTGTGACCATGCTGGTAACACAGGACCACCTCAGTGCAGCCCTTTTCGCCTATTGCATGTCTTGATAACATCGCACAGTCCTGCTATCGATCCACTCTGAAGCTGTTTTAACTTATACAACCATTTGAACAGAAAAGCCTGTACCTTCAGCCAGACTGCAAAAGTGACAAGTAGGCATCCACAGACAGAGCGTCTCAAAAAAACCTTTACTCTCACTGTAACTAATGTACTTGAATAATTCCAACACGCAAGGCCATTGAACACAATTTTGTACATGTCCGATTTTACTGTTCTTTGCTTTTTGCTGTCCGAGCCTTTGAGAGAAAAAGGCATATAATCGCCCGAATTGTTTTTTTTTTTTCTTATTAATTTCAGATTTTTTTGTCAGTTCATTTCAGTAACTGTTTTCGAGTTCATCGCAGCTCGAGGTTTGAGCTTGTTTATGTGTAAATTTAAATTTTGTGCGCTATTAACAGGGTTTTTTTCCCCCTGAGTACTCTGTTGATGTCAGGGATGCGGGTAAATCCTGTTATCTGCAATTCCAAAAAGTTCCTTTAATTCATGAAATGAAAAAAAAAAAAAAAAAAAAAAAAAAAAAAAATTTGGGGGGGGGGGGTTTTTTTTTTTTTACCTCTGTCTATGTCAGTTTCAGATTCAGTGATTGATTTCTTTTTATTGCTCTAGATTATTTGAAATGTTTTCCATATTATTAGAGACCACAGAATTGTGAGTTAGCAATGTAGTCATTATTTGTATTATTATTATTATTATTGTTATTATTATTATTATTATTGTTGTTGTTGTTGTTGTGTGAGGTTATGTTTTTTTTTTGTTTTTTTTTGCAGAATTATACCTCTTGAGATATTTGAATTTTCATTTACCTTCATATCTTTTCAGAACATCCATCATGTAGCTTATGTTTGCTTAACGAGTAGCAAAAAAAAAAAAAAAAAATGTTGGTTTCATTTATTCCTACTTGAATGAAGAAGTAGACAAAGAGAGTTTTTTTTTTCTGTAGAAAACAAACAGAAACACTGGGCTGCATTTTACATAACCGTTCCATATTGCCAGGTCCTGCATGTAACTCAAAGTACAAGGGAAAACAAAAACATCTTTCCCAGACAATATTTGTATATTTTTATTGCTTCATGCTAAGAAGCTCTGAGTATCAGCAGATCCATATGTCTGCTGAAGATCACATAATTCTACATGCAAGGGTTCTAAAATACTGACAATACATGTACAAATTCAAGCAGCAAGCTAACAATTTAAAGTTCACAATATATATTTAATTAAAGACATCAGTGTGTTACTGATCAAACATCGTCAGCAGAAGTACAAGCATGATCCGCGCAATCGTGTGCCAAAACTATAGCTGTATCTTCTTAAAGAGGATACAAATGTTGAGCGTAAATAATCTAGCTTCTATCAGACGTTATAAAAAAATAATAATAATAATAATCTTGTATAGTTTTATATAGAGTTTGACCTGTCAAATGTTATGTACAGGATTTGATCAAGCAGTTCTGCTCTAAGTTAAATGTTTCTGGTCTTTATGCTTTATGTGAGCATTTTGCTTTGTGTAACTGTCTTGTTATTTTCATTCATTTTGCTCCTTTTTGTTGTTGTTGTTTCTGTTCGATGCTGAAGCAGTGTATATTGCTTACCGCAGCTGTTTTTAACATCTTAACAACTTTGATGATAGTCGCTTGTCCATTCCAAAGGATTTAAGATTACATTTGCTCTGAAAGTGCTGCTTCCCTTGACCTGATATATTATTATTATTATTATTATTTTTGTGGGTTTCTGAATAGAAGTGTGTCCTGACAGTATACAAGGTACGTTTTCTAATGCCACACATGCATTAGACTATGTTTGTACTAAGCCAATTTGAACGAATCACCTACAAAATTACCTACAAAACATAAAAGTTACAGAGCATGTCTTCCCACGCGACAAAGACCTAAAGTTTTTGCCTTTCACAGTCGGGGTTTTTCTTTTATTTGTATTTTTTAAGAGGCAGCCATATGGAGTTATAGAAGGGTTGTTGATCTTTGTTACCAAAGGCTCTGAAGGGAAAAGAATGAATGTTGGAGTAGTTTTGAATCCAGCTCTGTTTGTACCGATGGAGTTCAAATTCAATGTGTTGTACTAGTTGATAGATGGATGTCATGCTTGACACGGACCTTTTACTACATCTCAAGTAGGCAACTTTTCTTCTTTTTTTTTCTCTACAAAGTAATTTGAATGAGCTAAAGTCATTCAGCCACCCAAGCCAACGTACTCAGATTGAGTCTAAAATGAACAAGGCAAAAAAGGCAAAACAAAAAAAAAAAAAAATAAACAAACAGATCCAAACTGTTGGTACTTTTAGTTTGAACTTGTCTGCTTGAAGAGACGCTGTGCAGCATCTGTTCCTCACTGCAGAGAAAAGTCTGTTGAATAACATTTGTCCTTTAAGGATTAGCTCGTTTCAGGTTATGCAGCATACAGTGGTGTCAATGACCTCTTTGACAAACAGAGAGCCTCTCACCAGCCCTTTCGGTTCTGTTTCCTGTACCTGTTTGTCTTCAGTGTACCTCCTCAGTGTAATGTTGCTCTCTTGATACCTCTGTGTGTTTTTTCCTCTGCACCCTCACCATCAGTTGCCTGTTGTAGTGACTCCATGGTGCTGCTTCCCCCTCTTATAGCACCATTATAATCTGTTCTGTAAATAACTCTCAGCTCAGCTATGGCCAGTACATTCCTCTCAATGACCTCACTTAAAACCTTCAGGTGACTCTGTTATTCTATTTTTATTGTGATTTTTTTTTCTTCTTCTTCAGCAAACCAAAATCACTACATTCAAGTATTACAGCTGTTCAGTTCAATGAATTCAACACACATGTAATGTGCTGGTCTTAGCTGCTCTGTTGTATCTTTTTATGGCATTATTTTTTACATGTTAGACAATATATTGTGACCATGTCCTATGCAAATATGAGAAATAACAGATTGTTGAATAATGTATGCTGTCATAACTTGTATGCATGAAATAGTGAGTTTACATTTGGAAATAAATTCATAAAATAAGCCACAATTATTAGCCTTGTCATGCTTCCAAAAGGTTAGTGAGTAACCAAGCGTCATTTAGAGTTTAATTAAACCTCATCAATACCTTTTCGCCTTTTTTGAGTACTGCTATCCGGACAAATCTTTATAACAAAGAAGCAGATCTACAATATGCAAACACAAACACAGCTAAGGTGAAAAAACATGAAACCTGTATGATGTTCCAGTGAGTCTGGTATCAATACAAGCTACAATATGTTTTAAATTAAATTTGTCAGTAAAAACTGGTAATTTTTTAATCCATTTGATGTTGACCATAAAAGAAATTAGGACTTTGTGTAATAGACTTTACCCAAGGTACCTAACGTAACCTAGCAGCTAAAACACAGCTAAAAAGGGAAGCAGGTCACCTGTTTCCAGAGGTAATGTAAACAACAACCAGTTTTGCATTTTTTAAGCAACATCAGGAAGCCCCTAAAAAAAAAACACTTCTGAGATCCAGATATAAAAACAACTCTTACTTAAAAGGAGATATCTTAAAATACATTTTAATTTATAAGGATTGAATCAGAGAGAAATGACCCCAAAACTGAAGCAAGTATAGGCTGGTTAATTCTCTACAATATTAAGTAGAATTTGATGGGATGCTTAGGAAATCATTCAGCATTTTAATAAAGTGTGTTGGAACAGACATACATGCAAACCATGTACAGTCCCAATGTAGAAGTCATTTCTATGAAATATATTGTCAGGAGCATCACTGTGAGCAGCCTCTGAAAAACTGCTATGCAGCCTTTTCTAAAGTTTTCCAAATCACTGACAACTATACCGCGAATGTCATTATCCTGTTGTGATGTACTATAATTATCCTCAATTTTGTTTGAGAACATTAGAGAACAAACAACATCATGAAGACCAAGAGACACAGCAGATAGGTCTGGGATGAAATTTAAACCTGTTATGTTATAAAACATCATTCCAAGCTGTTGACGTCCTACAGTTCAATCCATCATCTAAAAACGGAGAGTATGGGACAACTGCAGCTTGAACTACCAAGTCAGCAGGATAACTATTAATCCTGCACTACATGAAACTAAGAAGAAAGTCATTGTTGAAAGAAAGCCTCAAGAAATCCAGTGTAAAGTTTGCAACAATGTAGGTCTCATTTAGCCAGAAGAATACTTTTCGAGGCTACATAAGAGAGGTCTGACGAGAAGGTGCAACACTGTGCATAAAAGTCCTTATTCTTTAATGCATTTAGTCCAAATGAAGTTAAAAATCCAAATTTCACAGGTTAGACATTTGGATTTGAACGTAAGTGAAATCAGTGGTTTGTCACGTGCATACAAGGTGTTTATAAGTGTTGCAAGGTGGAAACAAAATGAAGAATGACACAAGAGGCGTCAGCTTGACGGTGAGAGACCACAGAGAAACTCTTCCATATTACATTAATCAGTGTTACAGCACACAAGTAAACACTTTCTTCTGCAGGGGTCGTAACAATGCAAATGATTTTCCTACACCACAGATTTTATATGTTTAATCCTCTAAAAATCTCAATATGCAATCACTAGCAAAAGCTCTGTTAGACTGACCAAGTCAAGAGGGTGTCGTAAAGATTTATTTTTGCACCTTTAGTAGTGTTTGAAGGTCTATTTTTGCCAGTCCCCTTCCTGCGCCATGAAGTCTGGTCTTTCTTTATTACTGTAAATATGTTCTTGGGAACAGAAGCACAAGTC